TTTTAGAACTCTCAATAGCACTTTTCTTTGAACTTTATCATATGCTTTCACTAAATCAATAAATATCATATGAAAATATTCTTTTTTCTCTATATACTTCTCCATCAAACGTCTCAATAAATGTATGACTTCCATAGTTGACCTACCCGGCATGAATCCAAATTAATTTTGAGAAACATTAGTATCACGTCGTAACCTATGCTCCATAACTCATTTCATAGTTTTAAAGTGTGACAAATCAACTTAATTACTCTATAATTTAAACAATTGTGCGCATCACCTTTATTCTTAAAGATAGAAATCAAAACACTCATTCTCCACACATCTGAAATCTTTTTATGGTCTTCAAAATAATATTAAAAATTTTAGTAAGCCAAGAAATTCCTTGATCTTCTAAACATTTTCACACCTCTATTGGAATATCATTAGGTCCAACAGTTTTCCTACACTTCATTTTTTTTTAAAGCCTCTCTAACTTAAGTTTTAGTAATACGCCGATAAAAACATAAATCTTTATTTTCATTTAGAGTGTTAAGGTCATTAAAGTCAATCATATTTTCACAATCTTGATTAAAAAGCTTAGCAAAATATCTCATCCACCTATGTTGAATATCTTCTTCTAGAGCCCTAATTTTCATTTGAAATCACAATCTTCTGCCTTCAAGATTTTGCACAACTAAACATTTCCTCCATCTTTCATGGCCGCCCAGTCTTCCTAATGACTACGACAATCACGACGACCATCTCGGTGTCAAACCATCCTTCATCATCGTTGACCAATATCAATTATTATTTTCACCCAACCCTTCAACTGTCACAAGCAACTATCATTTTAAGCTCTATGACACTCTACATCGATTGACACTAACAACATTCATCGCAAACTATCAACTAACGCCAACAACCATTACTGTCCATCTTTTAATGTTCATTGTCGACGAACACTAACATCAATCATCACCCATCAACCAACATCGATGTCCACCTCACTTGTTTTCCAAAATCAGTGTGTTGCCGCGATTGTTTGATGCTAGCATGTGTCATTATTGATCATCTACTCATTGTTAACACCACCACCTTATAGAATTCTGCACCACATTGTAGAAGCTAGAATCAATAACTCCACCTGCTTCAATTGCATAGAAGGACAAATATTTGCAATATGCAACTAGTATGTAGAACCATTTCAACGTATAAGACTAGGTTTGTTTGTCATGTAAATTCATCCGAGATTGCGGTACACTGTTGCCATACACATATGAGATTATTAAGACTTCGTACGGGACAACTTTCTTATTAATTTGTAAAGCTACTTTTCAGTACAAATAAAAAAATAGGAAAAAAAAAAACAACAGTCTAAAGTAGTCCCAAACAAAACCTAAATTCCATATTAAGCTATGGATGAGTAATACATTCTCACAACAACAGTTTCTCTACAACAGCTCCAGCAACTAGTTAGTGACATATATTTTATTATCAAATTTAAATCTGATATATTTGATGATTGTATATTGGTTAAAAGCCCGAGTGTCACTAACACACCCCAAGCAAACTGAAGAGCAGCACAAGAGTAAAGAGAAAAACATCCAACAACCCAAGGCAATCAGGAACCAACAACATAACAAAAAAGCAAGCAAAACGAAGATAATTTCTTTTTCGATTTCCTCCATCTTCATTTACCAACTTTTTTTTCCTTAGCAATTTGAATAACATTAAGTCATAAATTTCCTGAGAATCCACCCCATGCTCATCAACTTCCTCCCCAACCTCCTAGTTAGCTAATGAATCACAATCAGCTAACCAATTCCCTTGAGACGCTTCATTATCCATCGGATTGGAAGCTAATTGAGCTAACAATGGATCATTAGTTACAAGAGAAATGGGCACATCAATGAGAGGCACTTTGGCATTCATATCCATAGGATCAACACAATCTGAAACAACAGCAGTATTATGAACCAGAACAACCCCACCATTAGCAACAACCCCCAACTCAACCAGCACGACCACCCCCAATGTACCAACTACAAGACACTCCACAGGTTCCATGACGACATGAACATGGTTAACTTCAACACCATCACCAGAATCAACAATAGAGGAATCAACATCAACACCATCGTCAACATTAGAACAAGGAAACACGATGGGACTAGCTATAAGGTTAACCACACAAGCATTAACACCCTCTCTATTTTCACAAGCAATAGCCACCGTCAAAGTAGTATTCGACGGAGCACCTTCTTATCATGAGCGACAACATGTTCATTGTCAACAACACCATGACCATTATCTATCAACACAATAAAAGGAATCAAAGTAGGGGTAGCTATATTATTCACAGTTTCCAAAACACCAGTAGTATTCCCATCAGAGCTAACATGATTAAGAGCAGAAGAAACTGGTTTTGACATGCCTAATTGGGGATTTAAAATAAAGCATTCCTTTTTATCATGACCCAAAGCTTTACAGTGATAGCAGAAAGAAGCCAAACCTTCCATCACAATAGATTAAACATACCCCAAGCTATCCAGATTGATCCAACACAATCAGGATAACATTTAGTGATATCCAGCCCAACTAAAACCTGCGTAAACGAAGGGCAAGAGCCCACAATAGTTGCATTGCAATGTGCAGAGGCTAGGGGTACCAACGAGTTGAGTCGAGTTCGAGTCAAGGGGGGAGGGGGGTGTTCGAGTCAAGCTCAAGTGTCAAATACCGAGCTCGAGCTTGACTTGTTCCAACGTAAATGAGTTTGAGCCCCTAGTCAAGCCTTTGGCGCGGTCCGATTCGCGACATTCCAAGTTCCAACAGGCGGTCCTCAAAATTTTTTTTCTTGGTATTTTACGACTGCAGTGAGAGGAAGTGAGTGAGTGTGTGTGTGTGTGTGAGAGAGAGAGATAGGGTATTGATTATTGAGTGTTAGCCTTTATTATCTGTAGACTGTAGCATGTCACATAGAGAGCGAGAGAGCAGCATTGAGTGTTAGCCTTTATTATTCATCCAGCGACTATTAGAGATTTGAGAATCACGCAAGAATTTTTGAAATACGCGTGGGGCGGGCGGGCAGGAATTTCAAATACACGCCAAAATTTTTTAAATACGCTAGAATTTTTTAAAAATATTTAAATTTTAATAATTTCGAACTGGCTCGCGAGCTCGAACTCGTGGCTCGATAAGCTCAGCTCACGAGCTCATAAACGAATCGAGCTCGAGCTGGCTCGCGAGCCGGTTCGGCTCACTTACACTCCTAGCAGAGGTCGACCAAATAACGAACCCAAACCATTTAAAATGCGAGGAGAAAAGAGATGAGGACTCAAATTAGGGAAAGAGACCCAAAGAGGTATAATGGGAGATTCAACCGTTAAATCCAAGTAAGGATATCTCTTAACCAACTTCATGAAGCAATTATTGACAAAATAAGAATGATGTGTAAAAACTCTATAGTAATCCAAATCATTCACAAGCTTAATCGGAACATGTTTTGCATTCAAGAGAGTCACAGAAAATTCACCAACAAGCTTAAGATTAAAGAAAAACTTCCTAATTAATTCCAATGCCGGTCTCTTATTGGGAAATTTTCCAACCAACAAAATTTCAAAAGGAGCTACGAGAGCCAAAATTTCCTCCTCATAAATCCACATTAATGGGCTAATGGCATACGCTGGTAGGTCTAAGTTTTAATAGGCGAGAAGGCCATCGGAGAGACACCGGCCAAGGCATCAATAAATGACCTAGAATTATTTTTACCACAAAGAAAATCAGGATAGCTTAAACGAACCCAAGTAACCATCCGACAAAACTGGAGGAAAATCAAGCAAGAAAAGAGCTCAGCCACGAGAGAATAGGAAAAACAAAAGGAAAAGAGGAAGAAACTTTCCTAACACGAGCTCCGACAAGGAAGAAGGGCGGCTAGGGAAAATCCCTAGTAGAGAGGGCGAGGAGACGTGAGGGAATATGGTCAATTATTTGATTGTTATTGTAAGGATTATAAAAGTTGAATATTTACAAGTTGATAGTTGAAGTTCAATAATGAGGTTAGATGTTAATTTTCAGAATACAATATTTGGATAGCGGAAGTCAAGCGATGGTAGCAGTAATTATTGATGATAATCGTTAATTGTGACCGCAAGAAAATGAGATAAAGTTCTTTAGCCTTCTCAATAGAAAATGATATCATATTTTTAACCCTTTTTTAGAGAACTTTTTAAATAAATTTAACTAGATATCAAAACACATTTATCAAACATTTGAGCACCTTATAATGTCAAATCGAATGATCTTAGGCCCGTTGGATTCTTCTCATCTAGCCATTTGATTTGACTTTAATCACACAAAATATAGGATAGTTTGGTCTTTCAATGACTTTTATGAAATTTTCAATTATATTTAAATGTTTAATTTATGCTCATTTGAAATTGGATAAGAACATTTGAGATACCAATGAATTTATCTCATTAAGACATTCAGTTCAATCATTCCCAGACCTATTCAAAACCTTAGACAATAAAAAAATAATTGGTATTAGGTCAATGCCGTACTAGGTGCAAATCGGGCAGCCAAGGCACTTAATGGGTCTTTGAATACCATGATAATTTCTTGGGACTTCATATTTTTAATGCTATTTAAATAATATCTTGAAACTTCATGTTTTTAATGCTTTTTGAATAATTTTAATACAAGTATAGCTTTTTATAATTCAATATAAATCAATTACATCAAATTTTACTGAGAATATTGAATGCTAAAGACAAAGATGAACTTGGTTCTTACAACTACAAAGCAACAGAATCCATGACTTAATGCTTAAGCTTTCTGAGCTTAGTTAAAGGAAAATCCTTATGCTTGTGCTCAACATTGTGCTTACTGTTGGTCAATATTGACACCAAAACGACATTAATATGATAAACAAAATATTGAACAAAAGAGCAAGGAATTTTCTTGATCAAAGCTCCTAAAAAAATCTCTCTAAATGATAAAAGGTTAAGACCAGGCAGCACCTAATAGCAGCTCCAGAATTTATTGATGAGAAGCCATTTCAAGGAGTATGGATTTAACCCAAATCTGATAACAACTTCTGAAGTGCTTCAGAGGAAAGTGGAATATAGAGGCAATCCTGACCATCAGAGTGTTTCCTGGCCTTCAGCAATCCATGATCTCTAAACTCTGTAAGATGTGAATTGAGTGTAACCTGGCTGCTAACCAGAAAACGTTCGCGACACTTGGTATAAAGAGTGTTACCAGGCATTCCTGAGGAGAGGCAGAATTTGCATAAATCAAGTAATGATAGAACTCTGCATGATCGGAACAATGGATAAAAAGCACTTACCTTCTGCTTTCTCATTAGCCAGCTGATACTCTGCAAGAACTTTAAAGACGCTCTGAGCATTTGGGTTCAAACTTTGCAAGACTATTGTGGCTGTTCGTGCGCATTGGGCTGCGGTGCCAGAAGCAAGTATTAGAGGAAAGAATACACCTTCAGCCTTATAAGGAGCAAAGGTTGGAACATGGTACCAGCACCAGTTGAACTGTGTGTGAACCATCTTCTTGTCCCATACTGTCATGAAACCGCAAATTATTATGGCAAAATGAATAAGTTAAAGAAGCCGGTGGTTTAGGGATGTCAATATTTGACACGACCCAAAAACCCGACTCGAATTCGACCCGAAAATTTCGAGTTAGGGTCATACCGAACCCGAAATGGGTCAGGTTCGGGTTCAACAATTCGACCTGTTTCAAAAATCAGGTCGGGTTCAGGTTGACCCTTTGACCCAAAATTGACCCATTTTGACCCGAAAAATGGAGATTGACCCATTTTTGGACCAAAAAACTAGCAGTTTTTTGTTAGCATCGGGTCATTCAGGCCATGTCGGGTTAACCCGGATCCAAAGCAAGCACAAGTTTACAATCAAATCGCATGTGCAAGCACAAGTTTGAAAAACTATGTCGTGTGTTTTTCATGAATAGAATTCCTTCCATTCCTCAAAATATCAAGTGTTCCCTACAACAACCTAAACATGATTCATTTCAAAAGAAATTAATTAATAACTGAAAGTTTAGTATAGACAGTGTAAATTACTAAATTATACTACAGCAAAGTAGCATCGACAGAACTGCCTTCTAACAATCACAACCCCAATGGAGTTTCCTTGAAAAAGTTTTAATTGGTCAAAAGCAAAAGAACATTGAAAATATATTATGAAGGGATCACATTGCTTTCAGATTAAAATTGCATAATTTTTTGTAGATGTTCTAAGTACCAAATCATGAACCTGCAGGTACTAATGACTTATTGTATTCCTTGATAATAAAGCAATCATTAATACGCTATTATAAATAATGCTACGGTATTAATTAGACTATTCATAATCCCTAGGAGTTGGTTTTAGATGTCATAAACTAAACGGGTTAACTTTACTAAAACTATGTAAAAAAGACAACTTACACAAAGGTGCATTGACATGGTCAATAGAAGCAATGACACGAACATTAGAACAGCATGCCATGCGCGCAAGGTATTGTTGTGATTCTGAATCCCTCAAAGCAGGTCCATCTATATTGTGAATAACAAGGCATACAAATGAATCTTTCACATCCTCAACTTCTTCATTAAGATATGTTAACAGATCATCTATGGAAAGCGTATTAAATTGTTGTTGGGTTCTTTGCTTGTTTCCTGTTGAAACCTTTCGCCTGCATTGTTGCTTATCCTGGAGTAGTTCAGCAATAGTGACCACAACCTGCAAGGGGGAATTCATTTAGGATAAGTAAAAAATAATGACGCATATAAATGAAAACTAAAGAAAATTTCAGCTGCTGCAGGTAGAGGAACTTCTATGAATCATTGTAAGTGAATTAATACATTTAAGGAACAGACTCAGCAAAACTAAATACTCTTTCAAATTAGTAATTGAACAGATTCAAAAACTTCTTTAAAACTCCAGGAATAAACTAAGCCTTTTTTACATCACAAATATTTTATTTCTTTTTTTACAAGTAACTTGCTAAAATTTGTTATCAAGGATAACTCATATGCTATTTAATTAATTTTTTTAATATAACCTGTTTAACTACTTGTTAATACTAATATATTATATATCAACTCATTATAATTCTTAATTATTCAAGTAAATAATTATGATTATTTTTTTAGTTTTTTTCAAATTAATTAATCCGCTATATTAATTTTGTAATCTTTTATTTTTTGAGAAGCGTGAGTTATGACTTAAGAATTCAATGCTTACAAATTTTGTTTATGAACATAAGGCTTGTTTGTTTGGAATGTTTATGTTTGTTTCAAGATTGTTTGCTCAATAATCTCTACTTATTTCTCTACTTTAATGAGCAAGTATGTTGATATTTAACTCTTGTATATGATTGCAAGAAAGTTTGCGTAAAGACCTAAATTTTCATTAAATTAGCAATTAAAAAAAATTATAAGTGGGGAAGATCGTAAAATCATATGATATGATGTATTGGTGTTAATAATAACTTATTAAGAATATCATTTGTTTTATTACAAAAATAAATTAACCAGTGATTAACAACAAACTAAGGTTAGGATGAGAACAAGAGTTATATTGATATGATGTATCCACTAAGTTATGTTAATAGCTCACCCTCATATTTGGTTAAAATTTTGAAGGAAATATTTTGAAAACTTAGGAAGAATTTTATGACATAGTGGCTCTTTCAATGTATTTAATGTTGCACTATAAAAAATATGAACAAGCATTTTTATATTAATCCATGCTAGTAGATGAAATTTAAAATTTATCCAATTGATTGTTCTCATCTAGAAACTTTGAGCCCTCAAGTTGGATCGTAATAATTCAATCATGAATTATTTATTATCTCATTAAAGGGTTGTTTGGTTGCCTGCAAAAAGGGTATAAAGTATTCCAAATATAAGGATTTTGAGAATATTATTGTTTAGTTTGAAGCAAAACAAATGCAGTGTAAAATTTTGATGCATTTGGAATTCACCCTCTAGTTCATTTTGTATATTTAAAATTCCTCATATTTGAGTTAGTTCCAAATCAACGGGAAATTCATTGCATTTCCACCGCCGACCGCTCATTTTCGGCCACCACTACCGCCGTCCACCACCCACTTCCACCCGGCCGCCTGCCGACAACTGTTGCCCGCCGCTGCCACAGTGCTGCCTGCCACCTACCTCTAGCCACACCGCCGCCAATGTCGGCCACCGACCACTACCCATTTTGTACTTTACATTGCATTTATTTGCTTTAAACCAAACAGTAATCTCATGTATTCATTTTACACTCATCCAAAAAACTCTAAAGTATTCTTTTTATAATGCATTCCTTTTTCAGGCAACCAAATGATCCCTAAATTGGTGTTTGTTTAGCTAGTGTAAAATTGTTAGATACTTTCAATTTTATTAAACTATTTGCATATTCAAACCTATAAAATTATTTGTTAATATGACAACCACATGGTAGTTGGTTTAATATTTGCTTTTTCAGAAGCTTGTTCATTGGCTCATTCCATTACTTACTGAATTCATTTAGGCTGGCTCAACCATAAGCAAGCAAGTCAAATACAAACAAAACATACAAAAGCTCAACTAAAGCTCAAGTCAGGTTAGAACTTGTAATAAGACCTAGCCAAATCTAATTCTTGGCGTGCTCGACTTGGATCAACTCAATTACAACACTACTTCTATGATTCGACTCTTAAGCCCAAACATTTCAATTGTAACGAAGAAATTTTCCCCTCTAAAACTTGCTTGAACTTCTTTTCCAATGTGTAATGAGGGAACGGGGGTTCAGCAAAGAAATGTACGACTAAGCAATAATGAAACATTAAAACTAATTATGAAGTGACCAAAGATATTCTAATAACATATTTGCTGCATCAAGGATAAACAATGAGTGTGGTAATTTTTATATTAGTTATGATGATGGTAACAATAAAATTCAAACTGAGGAACCATGATATGTGTGCAAATGATGGTTTAGATTGACCAACCTTCTTCAAAAATATGTGATAAGCAAGAAAATTTGAGAAAATCTTTTAATAAAGATGAGAACTTTTTGCAGCTTAAGTAGATGTAAGATTAATAATTATTAGTTAACCATCATCATCATCATCATCATCATTTGCCTCATCCACAGTATTTGGGGTTAATTATTTATTTTTGGTAAATCAAGTGATGCTATGATATTACTATATAAAAGATCAAGGATAAAGATTTAGAGAAAATTGGTGTGACTAAGGCTTCGTTTGGGACGGCTTTCTTTTTGCTTTCTAAAATAGTTTTCTAATACAAAATTTTTTTTAATTTGAAATTTTTAACTAAAAATCAGTTTTAAAAAGCAGTACGAAAGCTGTTCCATACCAAATCTAAAATGGAGGGGCTACTCAAGAGCATTTGTAATAAGAGAATATAATAGAGATTAAAAGAAAAATTCTATAAAGCAATAATTAAACAGGGTATGAAATCAAGTGTTGGACAATGAAAGAATCATTTATAACCAAGTTGAATATGGCAAAGATGAGTCTATTAAGATCAATGTGGCATAAAATGATAAATTGCCATATAAGAGATATTAAGAAAGCGACAATTATTACAGATAATAAAGTGAAAAATGATAAATGTTTTGGATATAAAATGGAGGCTAGAAGTCTCATCAATAAGGCAATGACATAAACTAAATGAGAAGGAATTAAAAAGAAAAATGGATAAACCAAAAATAACATATTTTAACAGCTCTACAAAGGGAGGAGTAAATTAGATTAACACCTCATGTAGAACTCAATATAAAAGAATGGAGAAGAAAATAATATAAAACAAACTAAACATATTAAAGGTAAGCCTAATAATGATGGTGAATCGGCAGTAGCAACTAATCTAGTATTCCGTAACTAGTATGCTAGATCACGAGTACAACTGATAGAAACATATTCTTTACAAGAACATCTAGTCCTTTTGAATTCAAATAACAGCGTACGAATGAGCAAGAACCATGATACATATGATTGCTACTAACAAAAGTATGAAACAGGATCTATTTATAAATTACTCGTATCTAAAATGCAAGCAAATATTACTGCTGAAATTTGTTTCCTAAAGCAGATCCAAAAGAAATTGCAACCCATATGCATGGATTGCTTTCTAGCAAAATGGAACATTGTTTTTCCTAATTTGCAAACCAATAAAAAATCTTCCTAGTTTGTTATGATCACGGTGTTGGAGTTCAACATGCTGGGAGAGTTGAGGTATACAAAACTAACGAAGCACTAATACAAACATAAACAACGCTCATGAGCATCAGAAGGGTAAGCAAGACAGACGGCCTGAGGCTAAAGTTATTAAATAAATTATATTGGAAGTTATCAATAAAAGATAATGGAATCTGATATTATTTCCATTTAATGGGAAGAATACCGGTTTTATGTTAATTGAGGGTAGATAACCGTTAATGACAATGACATCATAATCAGTCAATGCTGTAGAAGCAAAATCTTCAAGTAAAACTTTCTTCGAACCAAATCCATACATCAGGAGACCAAACCCACACCTGAAACAAGTAAAAGTAAAACAAGGAATACTTAGTTAATTAGCATTTTGAATAATGATAACTAAAATACACCACAGGATTAACCATAAATAGCTTGGTATCACAAGCTTAAACACATCTTGACTAATGTTCATCCTACAAAGCGCTTCAATTGTGAGATTATTTGATGACTAACTAGAGCTTAGGACTAAAATTTAGCTTGAAGATCGCTAAATGAATATTTTTTTTGCTCGTATAGAGCTCAAATCAAAGCAAATGATCCAAAATTAAGTAGTTATTTGATTTGTTGAAAAAAGAATGCAAAGTAAAAGGAATGCAATGTAAAAGAAATATAGTGTAATATGAAATATTTGAAGTTGCATGCATGAGTGTAAAAGAATGACAGGAAAATATTTTTTTTATTTGACTTAAAGTAAAATAAATGAACGCAAATTAAAATAATAGTGGCCAACGGTGATTGGTAGCCAGCGATGACGTCAGTAACGAAGTCAAGCAGCAACGTGATGGACAGCCGATATGATTGGAAGGGAATTAGGAAGTTTCCTAATCAAGGAGTTGTTTAAGAAGGTTCTTAAGCAAAGGAGATTTTGTTTAGGAATGTTTAAATTACAATAGTGAGGGAATTATTTATGGCAAGAGATATAATTTGAATTCAAAATCTAAGAGGGAATTATTTAGGGAAACAACAACAACAACAACATCGAGCCTTTGTCCCACTGTGGGATCGGCTACATGAAGCCTTTTTTGACATTGTGTCCGGTTAAAAGTCAAATTCTCATTTAAATCTAATAAAGAAAGATCATTTCTAATATTTTCTAACCAAGTCCTTTTAGGTCTACCTATACCTTTCTTAAAATAAGTCAAATCTAATACCTCAACTTTCCTAACTGGGTCATTAGAAGGCCTCTGTTTAATGTGACCAAAACATCTAAGGCGACTCTCTCTAATCTTATCTTCCACTGGAGCTACTCCAACCTTTTCACGTATATGCTCATTTTGTATCCTATCTCTAAGGGTCAAGCCACTCATCCACCTAAGCATCCTCATCTCTGCAACACTTAGTATTATGCATCTCTTTTAATGGACAACATTCGGCACCATAAAGCATTGCAGATCTCACCACCATCTTATATAATTTTCTCTTAAGTTTGAGCGGGACTTTTTTATCGCACAATAAGCCCAATGCATTCCTCCAATTCAACCATCCAACTTGAATTCTTCTGATAATATCCCCATCAATTTCACCATCACTCTGAATAATAGATCCAAGATATCTAAAATGTGTACTCTTATTAATAACTTGATCGTCCAAAGTCACAAACCCCTCACTAAGTCTATTGCTACTAAAAATTACACTTCATATATTCAGTTTTAGATCTACTCGAGCGAAAACCTTTAGACTCTAAAGTTGACCTCCATAATTCAAGTTTTCCTTCAACTCCCTCTCTAGTCTTATCAACAAGAAGAATATCATCAGCAAAAAGCATACACCAAGGTACATCCTCTTGCAAATATCTAGTGAGAATATCCAATGACTAAAGCAAAAAGATATGGACTTAAGGCTGATCCATGATGTAATCCAACTGAAATAGGAAAATACTTGGTCAAACCACCATGTGTTTGAACACAAGTAATAGCTCCTGCATACATATCTTTAATGATTTGAATATAACCATTATTAACTCCTTTCTTTTCAAGAACTCTCCATAGCACTTCTCTTTAAACTTTATCATATGCTTTCTCTAAATCAATAAATATCATATGTAAATCCTCCTTATTCTCTCTATATTTCTCCAGCAAACCTCTCAAGAAAAAGGAGGGGGAATTAAGAGGAGATTGTTTAAGAAAATTTCAATTACAATTGGGAACAAATTAGTTAGAGAAATGAATCTAATTTGAATCAAAATTTGGGAGGGAATTATTTAGGGAGAGAGGGCTGATTTGGGAGAAAATTATGAGAGCCTATTTAAGGTTAACAATAGGGTGATTTAAGGATTATGTTTTGGAGTTTGCTGAATTTAGTTTATTCTTAGGTTATTAGGGCTCTAGCCGACAGCTAGGAATTTGAGAGAGTCGGATCTTGCTCTCCAATTCAAGATCTAATTGTATCTTGCATTTCTCTTTATAGTTCTTTCAACAAAAAATTATTTCAGGGCATTCTTCTTCCCAATTTTTTGTGTTTCATCCATAGATTTTTGTGAAAAGTGCATCCACTTCATATCAATTGGTATCAGAGCACTATTTGAGACATAAGGCGGCAAGGAAAGTTGATGCCTTGGATGAACGTCTAAAAGGAAATGTTGGCCAACTCAAATTTGCATTTGAGGACAACGGTGGTTGGTAGCCAGCGATGACGTCAAGTACGAAGTCGAGTAGCAACATGATAGACCTGCCGATATGATTGGGGGGGAATTAGGAAATTTCCTGATCAAGAGGGAGTTGTTTAAGAAGGATCTTAATCAAATGAGAATTATTTAGGAATGTTTAAATTACAATTGTGAGGGAATAATTTAGGGCAAGAGATATAATTTGAATTCAAAATCTGAGAGGAAATTATTTAGGGAAAAGGAGGAATGAAGATGAGATTGTTTAGGAAAGTGTCAATTACAATTGGGAAGGAATTAATTATATAAATAAATCTAATTTGAATTCAAATCTAAGAGAAAATTATTTAAGGAAACGGGGCTGATTTGGGAGAGAATTATGAGAGCATGTTTAAGGCTAATAATAGGATGATTTCAGGATTATGTTTGGAAGTTTGCTGAATTTAATTCATTCTTCGAATATTTGGGCTCTAGCCGACGGCTAGGGATTTGGGAGAGCTGAATCTTCCTCTCCAATTGAAGATCCAATTGTATCTTGCATTTCTCTTTATAGTTTTTTCAATAAAAATTATTTTGGGCGTTCTTCTTCCCAATTCTTCATGCTTCATCCGCTTATTTTTGTGAAAAATGCATCCATTTCATATTACAAAGATGGCCAACGGTTGGCCACAACTAGTGGCAACAACAGTGGTGGTGGTGGTAAGTGGTGGTGATTGGCTAGAGGTGGAGGATGAAAACAATGATGCCAAGTGGCATGTAGCATGCAACATGGGTCAATGGTGCTAAGCAGCAGGCAGCGGCAACGCAACTTGCTTACAGTGAAAAAAGAATTAAGTCAAAATTAGGCGAGTTTATAATACATCAAAAATGAACTAGGGAATGAAAAAGAAATTCGTCGGAATTTCACACTGCATTATTTTTTCATCAAACCAAACACCTAAATTTCATTTTTTAAGACTTGAGGAACCAAAATGGTCTTTTAATATAATTGGAGACCATTTTGGCTTAAGCTCAAGTGCTTAATCATTAAAAGTTTAAAATATTACAAAGTTACATGCTTTTTAGAATCAAGGTGACTAATCAGTAATCACCTTGAGAATCATCAACTATCATTGGTAAAAATAGCCTCGTCCCAATCACTATCATCATCACTATCTTTTCATCACCCTCGTCATCTTCATGTTCGTTTACAAGAGTTTTAAGCCTAAATGAAGGGCTTGCATGCTATATCCAGCCTAGGTACTCAAAGCCAAAAGCATGGCTTACATGCGTGTATCGTCAAAATTTGAAATGCTCTACTAAACACTAATTACAATAAAATTAAATTAATAAATAAAATTAGTATTAATTTTAAACCCTAAATCATATAAATTAAAATAATGCATGATATGGGTGCTATGCACTATGGCCTGTGCATGACCTAAATAGTGCACGCCATTTTGACCCCCATGCCTCAATATGAAAATACATTGGTAGTATGCCACGCCATGCTATGTTATGCGGTATAGCATGTGCTATTTTTCTCTGTTGACATATATGCGAACAAGAAAATTCTCTCTTATTCTCTTCTTCTTCTTTTGACTCCTTAAATTCTAACACTACAAATATCCCTCTACACTTCACAATAAACACAAAACTTCGCAAAAATTTTCAAATAGTTGAGCAAAGATAAAACCCGTTATTCATATATTCCCTCTTTATAATTATACTTTGGCCTGAAATTGACTTTGTCATGATCATAACTTAAAGAAGAATGTTTAAAGGGTGAGGGTGTTCTCAAAGGAATTAAGTGATAAATTTTTATTAAAATATTTGGGCTTAGTTATGCAATAAAGACATTTTTTATGACAAAAAAGATTTCTTACACAAAAAATGTAAGCAACAACAAAATATCAAGTTACATTTTCTTGATGATAAAATGATGAAAGCTTTGATATTTAAGGGATCAAGAAGCGAAACCTTTTTCACCCCATCCCTCGTTGGTCACTACAATAATAGATCACGATATATACTGCTCAGTAGTCACTGCCCCAATTCCTTTGAATCGAAGGAAAAGGGCTTTATTGAGTCTAGCACAACCTAGGGGCTATGCTAGCGAACCAGGCTGGGACTAGCCTCTAACCAAAGTACCTTGGATTGCTCCAAGGGGCACTAGGCCAAGGTTACCCCAATCCTATTCTTCCCTTCCCTTCAGTTTCCGCTCGCAAAAACCACGTCCTAATTGCACAATATCAAATTATCCTATAGAGAACTGTAACAAAAACTAAGAAATGGAACAAACAATTCCAGTAATTTTCACTCCAAAGTCCAAACGGTCAAGGTTGGCAGAGGTCAAAATAACTTCATACATCAAAGAATTCATCATAGCAAGCTTTAAAAACAAACGAAAGAGGTTTTCCATAACAAGAACGCAGACCTCAGCACAAACAGCCACTTGGAATACTGGTCCTTGTAACTCCTCAACAGAGCCTCAATCCCTGCCTCATTTTTTGGTCTTATTTCAGATACTGCTGCTCGCAAAACCTAACAAAGATCACGATGAAAAATCCATGAATCAACATATGAAATCTCAAATAAAAGAATTCCACAAGTCAAAAAGCTGCTAAGTATTAGAATTTTCGATCTTCCGCGCCCCAAGTGAATAAGAGCATCATATGGTGAATAATAACTGAAAAGAATAAAGTATGGTATATATATGGGCTAGGGTTCCAAAACCTGCTCGTCAACGAGATCAATTTCGGAGAGCTTGCGGCCTGATTTTTTACGGCTGGAGCTACCTAGTTCTCTTGCAAGGAAATAGTTCCTGGAAAACCCAAACTCTTCCTCCTCATCGCCTTCCTCATCCATCGCCAGCGACTCAAAGGCATTGAGGTCCATTAAGGGGCTGTTTGGTATGCGGATTTAGGCCGGATTTAAGGCCGGATTTGAACGAAATCCAGCCAAACGACCTAAAATGCCAAATCAAATCTCACGGTAAATGAATGCCGCGGTTGACGGAAAATTCCCTCTTTTCGTGGTAAATCCCGGATTTACGAAATCCTTTGGTTCGGCTATAAAATATTATAAATAATAATTATATAATTAATTAGTATTAATAAAGTTTTGTTATATTTTATTTAAATTTTTCTTGTCGTGCTTTAATTATCCTAATGATGTATGTCAACTCTTTTAACCGGCTTAAATCCTAAATTGAACAGTCAAACAGTCACACAGGATATAATTGGATTTATCATGAATGTTACCAAATAGTTTTCAGGATTTAACCCCCTAGGATTTCGTAAATCCGGATTTGGAGGATTTACGAAATCCTACTTAAATGAAATCATGGATTCTACCAAACAGCCCATTCTACTTCTTCTCCGATCGTGAGGGCATGAAGGAAAAGTTAAAGGGATTGTTTGGATGCAGGATTTAGACTGGATTTGGGGCGTATTTGAGGTTAACGAAACAGACAAAAATCTAAATTTCTAACACCGAATCATATATCCCGTCTCCTCTAATGATCTAGCGAGTATTTAGTACTGCTAATGACTTGTGTAATTAAGATTGAGCCCATACGTAACAAACGCATTAATGCTCCACAATTCTTAAAGGCACATTAGTTATGCACTTTTGCTAATGTGTGCTACAGTTCTGCAATTGAGCATTGGTTGGATCGGCCAGGCAAGGTTTTATGACCAGATAGCGACTTTAAGATTAGCAACAATTTCCCATAGACAGTTTCATCTGAAATTTATTACACCAGATCTAAGGCCCTGACTCATTTCCTTCCTTCAACGGCAGGTCTAGTAAAGCTTTTTTTTTTTTTTAATTTTGGGCTTATCCCTTATATTGAAAGAAAATAAAAAGAAGATTACAAGTAATATAAAAAATAGCCCCATAAAAAAGGAGCAAGCTCAGCTGAGCACAAAAACCTGCTAAAAAATAGGACGAACAACAAAAATCCTCAAAATAAAGAGTCAAATGCACACAAAAAAATGAGCTCCCACAGTCAGAAAAGCCTGGACTCAAGAGATAATACTAGCAAAACATGGAGAAATATAAACCCCACAGTTGCCCAAAGACCTTCCAACGTGAGCCTACGATAGAAGCAGCATCATTGTCCAAGGCTAAGGCATAAACACCAGCAGACAATTTCGTAAATGCACCAAACCAAAATTCATTCTTGAGACAATCCAGATTTAGGCACATCCAAAATTTGAAGCATCTAGAGGGGAACGAGGATCAAAATACACCTTAAGGAACAAGAAGCAGGAACCACATATATAGAATCAAGCCCATTTAGAACAAGTCCAAAATACTAGTGGATAACTTTCACTTGATAACTTTCTCAAAAATAGCTCTTTTGATGCTTATGGAAGTAGTGATGCAGCTATTCATAATATTCTTGAATCTCCTACTACTCCTTTCTTTCCAAATAAAGTAGATAGAACAACACGTAAATAGCAGATATAGATTTTTAATCGGCTATTGAGCACAAAATTCGTCGTCAATCCACTCAAAGAGATGAAGGATCTTAGGTCTAAAAAGAACTCTCTTAGTGCAAGGCATGCGTTCAGCTATAATAGCAAAGGAATAAGAGCATTCAAAACATAGGCCAGTTACGCTTTCAGGGTGCTCATGACACAAGCTGCAAGTTCACAAAACAGTAATGTTTTTTTAAGCAAAGCATATGCAGTTTTCAAACCCCCAACAATAAAAAGCCATGTATAACACGAGTATCTCAATGCATGCTTGGAATGTCAAACCAGATTATACCAAATGCACCTTGACAAATAAGAGTAATACTCATTAACATAATTTTTAAATTAGATGTTGTTCTAGTTCCCCTAAATTAAACAAGAGTTTATGCTTTCTAGAATTGGGATCTCATTAATATCATTGCAAAAAGAAGGGGACATATGATCAGGAAGAGCCCATAACCTTCCCGAAATGAAATTCCTAAGATGAGCACCATAATTTGTGGCATTGAGCAATAAGTGCCCTTCAGATGATTCCTCTAACTTGCAATTATGATACCAGTGGTCCCATTGCACAGAGATGGTGCATGGGGAGTAATCTAAAGAGAATATTAGCCTTAGCAGCAATAGCTATGTTACACACAGCTTCCCAAACATTTGAAGCATAGCATGGGGCGGGACGCCATGGAGAGGTATATATATTAGTAAGCCAAGAAGATAGTGGAGAGTCTGTGTTGTACATCATGAGTATAAATAAACAGTTGAAAGAAAATTGGATAGCATGCAATGAAGGCGGGCCCAAACCCCCATTTGCTTAGGCTTGCACACCGTATCCCATGAAACCATATGAGTTTTTTTACTAGCAATCGAATCCCCAAAAAATAGGAACTTAGAGCAAGCTTTCTTGAAGAATTTAATTATAGTTTTTGGTAAAATAACTTCATATATCCAATAAACAATAGAGTTCAAAATGGTGTATTTCAGAAATTGCAAACGGCCAGCAAAAGATAGAAGACTGGTCTTTGCTTCTACTCTTTTTTTTCAAGTCTTTCTCTTTTTTTTTTCTTTTCGGCGGCTTTGCGGGATTTGGCCGGACTCCTTTTGCACTGAGAACTTGTACACGAGCCATCGTTGCTCGGATTGGAGGCATACAATCTACTACTTTTAATCTATTAAAGGACAATGGAATCCCCAAGTAAGAAATCTTTGGACTGATAATGTGAATTGAAAGCGCTTGACAAATAGCTTCCTAATTAGTCAAGTTCCTAGGCAGCATGACAGAGCTTTTGTCTAAGTTAACATGAAGGTCAGTGGCATTTACAAAAGAATTTAGGATGCTTGTCAATTTGTTACAATTCTCTATAGTAGCTTCACCAAAAACAAGCACATCGGTTGCATATAGAAGGTGTGAGAGAGTGTACCAATCCAAAGAGATCCCTTTGAAGCCTCATTCATCTAATAGAGTAGAGAAGCATCCATGACCAAACAAAAAAGATAAGGTATGAGGGGGCATCCTTTCCTTAAGCTGGTAGAAGAAGAGAAATAGCCCTCGAGAGCACCATTAATCACAATAAAGAAGTTCACATCAGTTATACAAACTTTAATACAACTCACAAAAATATTAGGGAATCCTTTCTAAATTTGTCTAGCAATCAAAAATTCCCTAGGTACAATGTAAAAAGCTTTACGTGTATCCCTTTTGTGAGCTAGGGTAAGAACTTCATTAGTAAGTAAGATGTTGTTTGTAGACATCCTAGACTTAATAAATCCCGGTTAATTATCCTAGGCATGATAGGCTTAATTCTATTGGAAATAACATTGGCTATAATTTTGTAAAGAGTGTTACACATAGCTATAAGCCTAAAATCAGAGAAAGACACGTCATTTTTGTTTTTAGGGATAAGGGCAAGTGTCGTCGCTTTAACACCACTAGGAAGATACCCTTTAGAGAAAAATGATCTCACCGTTTTACAAATCATAGGACTAATAATATTTCATCCATATTTATAATAGTGAAAGTTAAATCCGTCCCAACCCAGAGTTGAGGAGGATGACCCCAAAAAGATCACCTTTCTAATCTCCTCTTACGAGACAAATTGAGTGATGTGAGTGGTGTAGTTAGCAGGAAAAGCAACACCAATGGGAAACAAGCCAACATCCAAGTTGGAAGGAGGAATAGGATTGTATATTGCTTGAAAGTGTTGAATGATAGAATTAATCACATCATTTATGTCAGAGTTGGGAGAGGTGGCAAGCAAGTTCACAGCCGCCTTGATGATACCCTTTTTGCTTCTTATTTTTGCATATTAAAACTTAAGATCTTCCTCACCATGTTTAAGCCATTTAACTTTTGCTCTTTGAATAATCTAGGAAGCAAGAATCCTAGAGAATTCAGATAGTTTGTGATTAATATATTTCATAGATGCATTAAGGATAGGATCATTCAGATCAGCATGAATCTTCCCCATACAATCCATTTGTTGATTGTGTAACTCATCAAAGTGAGACTTGATCATAGAAGAGTGAGGACAGACCACCAACTTAATATCACTATTTAACTGTTTAACTTTATCACTCAAAGGTTCGCTTAAGTTTTTATCTCTCAACGATGGTTTTTTCTGTTTAGGTTTTCCTGCTTCAAAGATTTGGACATGGCATGGTCTAGAGGTGTTTGGTCCCTCCTTGGAAAGTCTTTTGTACTTCAAAAATGATATCCTAAGTTTAAGCCTAAGAGAGAAAACTTCACATCAGTTCCTATTTGGATAAAAATCCACGATCTTCCACTGGCTTGTTGGAATTCAGAGGGGATCTCAATAATTGAGAGTAAGGTAGGGGTGCCCCTTGCCGTCGACACTCTTACAACTTAAAAGACTCGACTTACTTTTGCAAAAGTGGGTGTGCTTGTGGATAGTAAGGCGACTTATTCGGAGGAAATATTGGTCTCTCTTGACAAAGATGTTATCGGATTGAAGGTTCAATACGAATGGAGACCTACTCCATGTGAGCATTGTAAGTCTCTTGTTTATTATACTTATTTATGTCCCTCCAAACCTCAAACATAAGAGTACGGTCACCCACCCACCTCTGCTCCAATGGCTAGTCCACCTAGAGGCAGAAGTTTTAGTCGTAATCCTAGAAGTCGACATCCCTCTATTGTGCATGTTTGAAAAACCAATTCAACCAGTAGCCACACACATGCATCACCCATTAGGAATCTCGCCACATCAGTCACAAACCCTCGCCACCCATCTACCAACCCGCAATAAGCAATTATCACCAATTCCATTGGTCAGCCTTTTCACTATCAACCCCACTCCCCTTCACCTCAGCAACCTCTCATAAATCCATCCTCTGATTTAGTAATTAATTTTCCCCTTGTCAACTTTGGTGCTCATGATACTAAGCACAATATTGTCCCTAACCTCAATTCTCCCACGGTTGGGGATACTTCTTCTTCAACAAGTGCTTCTCAAAGTTAAATTGTGACTTCGCCCCCTGGTGTCTTATCACCAAACAAGTTTGAAGTTCTCCAAACACAGTCAGAGCTAAGTAAACCTCCTGACTCTTCTGTTTGTGATGAATTGG